GGTTGCATGAAAAATTAATGCAATGATCGTATAGTTACCACATTCCTTGACATCTCACTTCTTTGGGACTGGAATGAATATTGAATGTTGTCTGTAGTGGTCTGTTTGTTTTCCATATTTTTGGAGTTTTTATTATAAATCTGATGATACAGGACTATTGGAATAGGAAGGTATTTAACTCTCTAAGCAAACAAGAGCTAAAAATGTGCCCTAATGTTGTAGGGCAGCTCTTAAAGGACTCCTTTAAACTGAGATTATGATGACATTTGACACTAGCTCTATTCCACTTATGCCTAAAAGATAATAGATCAGTTGAAGGCCTTCCTCTGTTTGGGATGGATATTTTGACCTTGGATACAAATCTTCCTTAGGGAAGTGATAGAAATCTATAAAGTAGCCCTCCCCTAACTTTGGAATGATCCAACTGTCACAGATTATTCTCATGCTGAAATAAGTGTCAGTCCTTGTCCTGTAAGGAGACCCATCCCATCAAAGTGTGAACTGCCAAATATTGTGACCTGACTACGATGAATAGAAAAATTCTGTTTCCTGGTTGGTTCCAAATTTCCGAAATGTCTGGATCAAGACACCCTAGAGAGACAAAGGGGTGTGCCAACCCATCCAAGCTGATACTTAAACCCATCCTCAGCTTTTGAAAGGAAAGCATAGACGTTTTCTTGTGGTTGTTTCTACAAAGAGGTGTGTAAGACAACAGATGCTCGCCTTGAAGGAAAGAGTAGTTAAAATTGTCCCGAAACATTGATCTGTATTCCAGTGATTTAACCATAGTTATTCTCTAGCCAATGTGGCCACTGCAAATGCTCTGGTTGAGAAGCTGTGTGTAGCATCTGTCTATACCCTGTACAGTTTATTAGGTTTCCTTAGCAGGATTTTCCTGACCACAGCACAGGTAGTGGAAAAGCCCACAATTACCACTGCCAAAGGCTTTAAAGCTACACCAACTTGAAAAGCAAAATTTCAAAAACAAAAGCAGAATTTCTCAGTAATATATCTTCCTCTGGGTGCCAAAGCATATGAAAGGAGGATTGTCACCAGAGCATTAACTAAAGGTCCTTTTGGATGCTATGTAACACTACATGAGAGAATACTACTTTGAGTAGTATTGAGACTGTTTCTACCCTATAAGAAAAAATATACACCTCCCTACACAAGCCTCTCAGTAGCTGCCAGGAAAACTGCATCTTTGCCAGATATTTTTGATTGCAGAATAATCATAGCATCACTGACTGCCACCTCAGAGTCAGGGTGTATGATTGGGTTTGTTGTCAGCTGGGTTGCGACCCCTGTGTTGGCGCGGGAAGAAGAGACGGAGGCTGCTCCATATTTTTAACACGCTTCATTACTAAACAAACTCAATTCAACAGGTTCAAAAGGGTCCATCAAACTCAACTCAGGCAAAAGGCGGTAACTTCTTACTCTAACGTACAGCGTTTTAATATCACTCCTCACTGAGGGGCCGGTCCAAATTGCTCCCAATCGGTCATGGGCCTCCGTGGGGTGCTCCTCATGGCACATACTGTCCCACAACATGGGTGTCTCGCCCAGTCCCCCTCGCGTTGTGGCTGGAGTAAAGAGGGACTGGGACGGATCACCCTCCTTCCCCCAAGCTGGTTGCGAGGGTATACTACCACTGTCTATTCTAGTGGCTCTAAATCCTCTTGCTTCGCGTCGCGTCCTTTGGGTCAGGCAGTTACAGGTTTGGAAACTCCATCATAAGCGTGGCAAATCCTTGTCCAGCGCTCCACTCTGTCTGTACTGCCTGGTCTCTCGTGGGAGATTGTTCGCCCGTTAGAATTCTAAAACTCTGCGCGCTTTCTTCCCCTTTTATGCCCTCCTCCCACACAATCAAATCCAGCTCCTCCACTTTCTCATCAGCTAAGCAAACCTCAAGTGACATTTTCCTTTCCTCTGTCCCCTGATCTATTTCTACCAATATGCCCTCCCCCCAACCATGGCTCTCCTCTGTCATCTGCTCCATGGAGGACGGCACACTGGCTCTCTTTCCTTCACAGGGGGGCACAGTTCATTCAGTTTTCAGACAAGAACCTCAGTCTTGTCTGAGAACTGAATGTAGCGAAATTAATATGGAGAAGGAGAAACACCAGTGGAAAAGAGTTGCTCTTTGTAGACTCTTCTACTTGCATGGATATAATTATACCCCTCCCTCCTTTCAAGGAAGTCTCTATTCACTGCTGTTTGCCTGATGCCAAGTGCACGAGAGCCTGCAAAAGCCTGATTAGAGTCCTCACAGGGAAAGGAGCACTGCTTTTTGTAGCTCACTGATGATCCCAACAATGTGAGGAACAATCCGCTTAGCTGTCTTGCTTCAGATTCCTATATAGAACAGGACACGGCATTATTTCCCTTTTTATCTTTTCCTGGTGGCAGGAAAAAGTAGAAAGTCAGAAAGGTTAGAAATCCTAGCTCTTTTCAGCATGGCTCTGGACTGGGATGGTATGGGTAGTTCTGCTGGGAACAGTCAATAAGCTAATCAGCCAGACTTGCTTGAATAAATTGCTCCTCAGTAACCATTGGCATAATCATGGGAATGAGTGGTAAAGGTTATCAGCTGAGGCACTACAGTTCCCTGCTAGGATAGAACAAAGCCTATTGTGTAATTTGGAAGGAACTGGTCCAATATTGACCAAGCAATGTGCTTTGTAAATTTGGAGGGAAAAGATCCAAAGGAAGCTCAACAATGACCATCATGCACAATCAGGGATGGATGCTACATTTTAGTAGTACTCCAAGGCTGAAAATTGGAAGAAACATTATGGAACAATTTTTCAAGACCAGTTTCACCTGCCATGTTCTCCAGACCTCCTGATGATTGGATCAGCAAAAGGTCTAACTGATTCATGTCCTATTCCCCCTCAACCTGTAGTTTCTCATCTCTTGCAGATCCCACTGTGCTGCCTGAATGGACAAGCTCAAGGACTGCCAAGGCATCGTTTTCATCTCCTGTGGATCACACTGTGCTGCCAAAATGGACAAAATCAAGCGTAACTGAGCAGCTACTGTGGGAGAGCAATAGAGAAATTCTGTGCACCCAAAGAGCTTGAAGAGATGGACAAGAATGCAAAGGCCTCCTTAAAGACCCAGATGTACCAAGGCAGCAATGTCATCTTTTCTGCTGATTCTACAGCCTTTCATAGGTGCTTTCCCATAGAGGCCACAACAAAGGACAAAAGAAAAGGGAGATATTATTTGCTTGATTTTTAAGCAAACAGGAATGGAATTGAGAAGTGGAAATGAACAAGGAAAACAACCTGGAAATACTGTAAATCACAGAAACACAGTTCAAGGAGAATAAGGATATACGCGTTAGAAAAGAAGGAGACAGAAATGGCAAAGCATGTAGCCCGGGGGTCTATAGTACCGTATTTTTTGCACCATAAGACACACTTTTTTTCCCACAAAACAGGGGGGTGGAAAATCTGTGTGTCTTATGGAGCGAAGAAAACAGATTATATTTTCCTGTTTTCTTCTCCTAAAAAATTGGTGTGTCTTATGGAAAGGTGCGTCTTATGGAGCGAAAAATACGGTATACCGGACTCCTTGTCACAAATATTAATTTCTGTGATGTTGGTGACCATAGAAATCTGCCATTACTGGAAGAGCAATCTTCTGCTGCCTCAAATATTTATTTATTTAAATAGTCCCCGGCAGAGATGATAAGGAGGACTCAGGTGTGTAAAAAGAACTGGATATGCCTGAGAGGGAATCTCAGTGTCTTATGTGGCTCTTTGGCAGATTTATGCAAAAGATTTCCCACCAGAAGGCATAACAGTCAAGAAGAGAGGCGAAGACAGCAAAGAAAAAAAAGATGTTATTGTTTATCTTATGATTGAGAAACTGGTGAGGAGAAAAATTTAGGAAGAACGAAGGTAAGGATTGTTAAGTAGAGAAGAGGCAAGAGAGGAAGCCATCCTGGTTTCGAGTAAGGAAAACAACTGGGAGCGGGGAAATGAGCACATGCTTGGATAGCCAAAGCTTTCCTCATTTGTTAGATCCTGCCTTGCTTGGGCAGCAAAAGGGAACAACCCCATTCTCGCAGAATTGTTTATTCCAACAGATAAGAATGTACAATCCACAGGTCAGCACTGGCACATCACTGTCCTTGCTGGCTGGGGATTTCTGGGAGTTCCAGTTCAAAAAGTAATGTGAACAAGCTGTGCTGCAGGTATGCTAGCAGAGTAATTTGCTCACACTAAACCAGATTTTATAAGCATTTTAAAAGTATTTACTAATACTTAAGGATACTAGTATTTTAGGCAATGCATTTCTGCTAGACAGAACTTTTTTGGGCTGGATACCTGGAAAAGGGTGACAGTAACACTAAAAAAGATATAGCCTACAGAAAGGGAAAATAACTGGATGGATTCAGCAAATGGCTGCCAGGAATAAGAGCTGATGGTTTCACAGAAAGGTCTATGAAGAGGAGATGTGGTCAGGAGAAGGGCATCAAATGAAGTTGGCTCACCTAACCAAGACTGAATCTGTTTAAAAATAAGACTGATTATACAATTTTCATTAACAACTGTCCAAGATATTTTGATTTAATCATCTTTATGCTAAATCTTCAGCTGAATTCCTCTTTTTAATCCAGGGAATGAGGATTACATCAAAGAAAAAGTATCAATTAAATTTAGTTCCACTCAAGCCAGTTTTTCATTTTCCCATAGAGTTTTCCACCAGCTTTTAGATATTCGGATTCTTGTTTGTGCTTTTAAAACAAATATTAAAAAGATACCCTCTATTCACAAAAATACTGTATAATTCAGACACAAGGAATATAGTAATGTTTTCAAGTAAATTATTCAGTTATATACCTTAAGTTAATTTTCCAGGAAGTGTGTGTTTTTACACATAGTTTAAAAAACGTTCTGCACCCTTTTGCACAAGTTTGTAGTTTTTTTATTTATACATTTATCGCAATTTTCAGCTGAAAATTAGAATTTCAATTTTTACAGGTAACCCATGGTTTAAAACGCAACTTTTTATTTTTATGGAATTTCACAAGTTTGATATGACAATTATAATTAAAACTTTTCTTATCAAGCATATTAATGTACAGCTAGATTACAATTTTTACAAAGATAAAACTGTTAAAGGTTTTTAAAATGCACTGGTACCAGATCAAGAGTAAAGACTGTCTACAAATGACTAATGATCATCATTAAGAGAGTCCTGGACTCTTCCTTTCTATAACATAATGAGAAAGCTGCTATCTAGTGGACTAAGCAATACTCCAAAGCTCCTCAAAAATAGCCACAAGTTGCAGATAAAATGGAACCCAGTATTTGCATTGCTCCTGCACTGCTAGAATGTTTTCCCATTTTCTGCAGTGACAGCATTCTTACAATACTATGGTTTTTGCAAATTAACACCTTTTAAGAATTTGGGCATGCAGTGGGGTGCTTTTCCCCAGACAAATTCTGCTTATGTTAAAGACCAGTCTCTAGATGGTTTTAGTAGCTATAGTGGACCACCTAATGTCCAACTATATACATAGTGCAAATTTAATCTTCCCCAAATAGTATCCTCCTACTAACAATAAAAGAGTTTTATCTTCACAAATGAAGATATCTTATTGATAACATGTGGTACACTTTACTCATTTATTCATGCCACCATCTATTAACAAATTAGTAACTTACAGTAGAAACTGATTCTCCCTGCATCATAGTTTAAAACCAGAACTAAAAAAAGAAAGACATTCTAAACCTTTATAGTTATTCACATAACTATATGTTCCACAGAAATTTTGTTCTGAGCTCATTAAAAAAAAAACAAGAAAAAAAAGCTGTCTGAAATGCATCCCTTTTTGCTCCTGAGCTATAGATGGAGTCTGCTACTGCTTATTTTCACTATTCATCCTTTTTAGACGGTGAAGTAAAGTGTCTTTCTCCAAGTGAGCTTCAGCAAGCGCCATCTTAGCTTTGGCTAATTCCTGTTTCAGACATTCATTTTCTTCAATAAGCTGAAATAATTAAGTAGAAAATACAGGCTTTAGTTTTCCTATGTACTGCTAGATTAGTTTTGGCAAGAAGGGTTTTTATAAGCTATAGTGCCTTCCCAACAAAAGTTATCAAAAATATCAATTATCTGAAAAGACGTAATACCACTTGTGTCTCTGCTTTTACATAATGCTTTGTAAACATTTTGCCAGCGCTGGCTTTGCTGCAAAAATAATCTATAAAATGAAAATAAGCAAGGCAATAAACATGGTAAATTTTACAGACACAACCACAAGAGTACGATGAAAATTGCTACAAAAATAAAATAATTATGTACTAATTATACATTTTTAAAGCTATAAAAATTCTTTCCCCACTGCTTGTAGTGTTGGAGTATGCAAATTTACATGGCGCTCTCACATATGAATGCACTCACTTCCACTGTAATCTCACTATTGCTACAAAGCAGAAAACAGTGGCATCTTAATTTGATTTTCAGAATGGGTTTCGCACAGAAACTACACTGATCACTGACTGATGGGTTATATTGGGAGAAGGACAGGAGGTCACTCGTATTTTAAAAAAGGGAACCTCCTCAGAGGTATTTAACCTCTGCCAGAAAATTCTAAAGGGCATATAGTGGCCTCTCTAGCACCATATGCTCTTCCAATATCTCCAGGAGACACAAGGCTAAAGCAACTCAAGTACGTGCTTCAAGTATCTTTCAGAGAGGTTTGTACTTTGTTTTACAGTGCAAACAATAATTTTGATTGTTCTCCTTACTACAAATACATATTTATAAAAACATATACAGATTAATGATTACCTGCTCTTTAACTGAATCAGAGAGTGACCTCAACACATTAGGAGATCTAGCAATTTCTGGAGATGTTTGTGTGGCTTGGGAGAGATAGTTCTGTTTTGTATGCGTACTAACTTCAGCAGCCTGATCACTTGAACTTCCACTGGTCTTATTCTTTGGTAAATCACTACTAAGTATGCGGTTATCTGTTTAAGAGAAAACAGAAAATTAACGTTTTTACACTAACACAGCAACCGATCAAAGCAACTTAATAAATTGCATAATGTCAATATAAAATAAATTGAATTGTAATCATAAGGATGTGAACACAGAGAAAACTTTTTTAGAAAAAACTTTTTGTTGTTATTCATCAGCATCAGAATGGTAAAGCAATACTATAGTAATAGTACCACAATACTAAAGCAAGACCAGTCCAAGTAATAAGAGTTACTAATTATTCCATACTGAATAGAAATTTCTCTAATCAAGGCATTTTGAAGATGCATATCCACATACAAACACAAAAGAAATGAAAAACCATAGATTCGGGTAGTTAAAGTGCTATTTGTTGCTCTTTGTTGTCAAGTCAGAACCGACTTATAGTGACCCTACCAGGACTCACATTTAACAAGTGGCTTTTACCAGTTCCACACTCCAGTGAGCTTCCATGGCTGAGTGGGGATTCAAACCCAGGCCTCCTGAGTTCTAGTCCATCGCATTATCCAATACAGCACACTGGTTATCTTGAAGTACTATCCACATCCATTTATGTACAAACATAATCTCACATCAAGACACTCTGGTAGAATTTTTTTTCGGTTTATTGTTAAAACTTTCTTAGAACTATACACCTGCATTTAGACTGACAAAATCAAGCCATGTAACAACTTCTCAATTCAAGATATCTGACTTCTGCAATTACTGGGCTGCTGGAGTATCTCAGTGCTAAGACTTAATCAGATGAGCCATGTTCTACCATTGCAACTGGAAATAAGGAAGGGGCAATAGCTTTTATATGTCAGAGAAAGTTGGTGGATTGCTCTGAAACTTGGCAGAGTAGCAGTGATTGGCATGAAGGTGGCCTGGCTACCCTGTTTTCCCAAAAATAAGACCTAACCTGAAAATAAGCCCTATTATGATTTATCAGGATGCTCGTAATATAAGCCCTACCCCAAAAATAAGCCCCAGTTAAGTGAAATCCCACCCTCCACCATTGTGCAGCATTGTGCAGCAACCAGAAGATGATGACATGACTGTAAAATAAAACATCCTCTGAAAATAAGTCCTAATGTGTTTTTGGAGCAAAAATTAGTATAAGACCCTGTCTTTTTTTCGGGGGAATACGGTACTTCTGAAAGACTGAAATGATGTACTGATGGGAGCTCAAAATTCACAACTGATCTCCAGCAGATCTGCCTGATCTTGTCTGTGGTATTGCCTACTTTGTTCCAGCTAGATTTGCCAACTGATTTGAACAGTATTTTTAAGAAAAAGATTGCTGTGCTATGTCATTGACGAGATCTGGGATGTATTGCACCCCAACAGTAATACACAGTATTCTTGATTTTTTTTAACCTATAGAAAGTCATGCTATAAGACTTATTTCCATGATACGTCATAGTGTTTTTGGCCATGACACTTAGGTTGACGGACTCCATCTCCCTTTTTGAGCCTGTCGCGCCAGCTTCGCAGGTGCATTTGATGGAAACACAGGATAGAGCCTTCCTTATGGCTGCTCCCAAACTCTGGGACTCCGTCTCATGGCAGGCCAGGCTGGCCCCATCTTTCCTATCCTTCCACAAGCAGGTGAAGACATTTCTCTTCAAAAACACTTTCCCTTAGTGACTGGCAATCTGAGAGGGGTTTTAAACAAAGTGCTTTGAATCTGCTTTTTGGTGTTGATTTTGTTTAACATTTTTAGTGTTGTATTTGTTTGATTCTTTTAAAAATATTTGTATATTTAGTGTTTTTACCTTTTAAATATTGTATTTTAATGATATAAGCCACCCTGGGTCCTTTTTAAGGAGAAAGGTGGGGTAAACATATTTTAAATCAATCAATCAATCAATCTTATGCCTTCATTAGTAACACTCAACTATTGAATATTAAAAATATCATACTAATCTTCTGATAGTAACAAATTAGCAGTTTATTAGACAACTGAAATGAATGGGGTCTAACAATGTGGGTTTCTACTAACCAGTTCCTCAGTTCAGGTACTTCAGTGTATATCAATATTAAAAATAAGTACGGAAATCAAGACAGACATACCTCTGATGCAAAAGGAACCATCATCTTTCCTTTCTAGAATAAGTAGGTCAATATGCAGTGTTATAGGGACTGATTCAGGAGCAGTCAGATTGTCACGTGGGGTGTCATCCTTGAAAAAGAAAAGCAATAAAAATGCTTGATTGCATAAAAGGACAAATTCCAAATGTGCCCACCAGCCCAAATAGATTGCAAACTTCTGTCCTAATTGATTAAAGACAGAGGCACCACAGTTCTGTCTTTATATTCATTGTATATTCAAGTGGATCACAGTGGCTGAAACACTATTGGTTAGCTCCACAATCTCTGGATCTACTGGTCTAATAATCTTATAACTGCACAGCTAGAAAGGACCCTATGGATCATTGAGTCCAGTCCCTGTCAAGGAGGCACAGTGGAGAATCAAACTCCCAACCCTCTGGCTCCATAGCTGGATACCTAAAAAACTGAACTGTCCAGCAGTTCAGCATATAATATACTGCACTACGTGGATCCAGAGATTACACTGTCCACATAAAGTCAGGAAAAGACAGGATGAAATTGCACAAAAGTGTCCTTTGTTACTATTTCAAGATACGTTGGTGAAAAATAGATTGTATTATTTATTAAATGTTTTTAAAATGCAAAGCATGAAGCCTGGCCTGCCAATTATTGAATAAGTGGTGAAACGTACACATCTCCTTAATATCTTCCCTAATTTTGCATTTTTCGCTCAGATGGACTTAGGAATTGTATAGTACTAATAAGAGCGGGTTGACGATACGTACGTCTCTCAGCATGCCTTCTATTTTTTAAAACTAAAAATAGAATGGACAGGCTGGTAGAATACCACAGCTTAAGTAAAACCTAGGAAGCCAGGAGAGGATTAGTACTGGTTATACCAAAATATTCATTTTTAGGTCAGGGAGCAAGAATACCTGGAATTTTTGTATGCCTACTGCCTCATGTACCACCCAGATGACCTCTTTTGGTAGAAAACAGATAGTGCACTTGTATCAGGGAAATACACATTTGAACATTTGTTTAAAGCAGCCCAACACCAACTAATTACAGTCATGTTATATTATAGTACTTCTTTTTTAATTAATGGAATATTTTAATTTTATTATTCTACATTATTAAACAGTGTGTTTATTCTCTCTTGCACTAAATCACACTCCCAACCTCAGTTGCTTTGTTTTGTTTCAAATATTTTTACAAGAGGAACGAACAGCAATGCTGCTTCTCATCTTTATGTGCAGACAGGTTTGAACACTGCCTTAACAGAAAAGATACTAAGGGTAAAAAAAAATGCAATTGAGCTTTACAATCATAGATCATTGTATTAGAGCAATTTTACTGGAAAAGTCTTTACACTGCAGATAGTTCACTTGAGAATATACTTCCCAGCATACAACCACATTTCCACAAAACAAGGCAAGGTTCTCACTTTGGGCTATAATACTGCCAAAATGCTGTTCAGCTACTAAGCAGATGTGAAGAATAAATCTTTAAATAAACAACCACTGATGGGAGAGAACTACATGAAACTAATCATCCACTGCCATTTACTTAAAGAAAACATATAATATAGAACTGGGACAGTTCTGTATAAATCCAGTTCACCCCCAACAGTGCCTGACTGAAAGCATTCTACAGATCTTAGAACATTTAATGTAAAGTAGGTGGAGAAAAATCATATTCTATCTGAAATAAGCCTAGATTCATTTCGAAATGACATACTTTTAAGTTGATTCTTGTATTAGTAATTTTAATTTTCATAGGCATCACTTCTGCAACCATTTCATCTTCCAAAAAACGCTGAATGTTCATGAGTGAAGAAGTTAAAAAATCGGTGCTGAGATCTTCTATATGACACTGTAGAAACCCATTTTTCTCACAAAGTAATGAGTATTTTATAGCACTGGGTCCACTTTCCCATCTCAGTCTTATTTCAGGTGCTGATTTAACTGGCCCGGTCACAGATTTAGGATCTGAACCTGTGACAAAAACAGTACAGCATCAGGTCAACCACTTATAGGAGGTGAAATGCATCTGCAGATACCCTCTTTTCCAAAATGGTATTTATTTTAATGAGCATTCCACTTTGAAACAGCCAACACAAGGTTACTGTGTTTTTCACTCCGTAAGACACACCTCTCCATAAGACGCAGCTCATTTTTAGGGGAGGAAAGCAGGAAAAAAATATTCTGGCAATTTCAGCCCGCTGGGCCCGCGCAGGTGGAGATGGGGGAAGCCTCGGAAGAGTCCAAGAGTGCCTTCCAGGACCCTTCTGAGGCTTCCCCTGCGGGGCCAGCAGGGGAAAATTGCCAGCTTCCAGGACCCTTCTGAGGCTTTCCATGTCTCTGAAGGGTCCTGGAAAGTTGCGATTCTGCCCCCGCTAGGGGTGGGGGGAGCCTCCGAAGGGTCCTGGAAGGCACTCTTGGACCCTTTGGAGGCTCCCCCTGCAGAGTCCAAGAGTGCCTTCCAGGACCCTTCTGAGGCTTCCCCTGTGGGGCCAGCAGGGGAAAACTGCCAGCTTCCAGGACCCTTCTGAGGCTTTCCATGTCTCTGAAGGGTCCTGGAAAGTTGCGATTCTGCCCCCGCTAGGGGTGGGGGGAGCCTCCGAAGGGTCCTGGAAGGCACTCTCGGGTTGGTGGGCTCCCCCCACCAACCCCCACTGGGCCCTGGGGAGCGCTGTTTTACAGTATTCACTCTATAAGACGCAAACACTCCCCCCCTTTTTGGGGGGGAAGTGCATCTTATAGAACAAAAAATACGGTATTTAAAATTACCTCTGTGTCTTTCATCTTGTAACTAGGTACATAACTTGTTTCTGTAATTAATAAACTATGAAAAGCAAGAAGGGCCCTAATTGGTTAAAACAAATTTGTTTTCACACATGACTTGTCTCTTTATGCTGATTTTACAGACTCTGAAAGTACTTCTTAATTTTAAATATTCTTCAGATTTCTTGAAAATGTGGCAGATATTTTTCTTAATAATTTAGACAACATAAGGAATGCAACTGCCTAACTGGAGAATACACATAATTGTTATGAAAGATTGGAAAATCTGGGAAAAATTCCAGATTCTGAATGATTTTAGAAGGTGAACATAGATACTTTTACGAGTCCACTAGAAACGAACTTTGTTTCCAAAATAGTTAGCATCATGCCCCACTTTTATCTTTCCAAAAACCACATCCCTCCCCAACTCTTCTTTCATCTCCTTTCAGCAATAACACCAATTTGTAATTTAAAATAAAAAATAAAAAAGACATAACAAACCTTATTTTAAATTTAAAATTAGCACAAGTAGTTTTTCTAGAGTGACTCTAAATTCTACTAACAATATCTCTCACAGAAATACATTTAAGATTTTATATTATTTATATATACAAAGCCTCACATCTTTGTGCCTCCTTCTGGAATTTCTTCATGTTCCCACAGGAAAATACACACCCCAGTTTAGGAACCAATGTTCTAATTATAGAACTAGTGACCAACTTGTTAATTTAAAATAAATCCTTAAAAAGGCAGTATAAGCAGCTTTTTATAAAGTATTAAATAGTTTTAAAAAAATATTATATTTGTTCTTACCTGCTGTTCGATTGCAGAGATAATGTCGAACACTGATATTGCCTAACTGATTTGGTTTCACTTGATTTACTTGAATGCACACTTCTGTATCTTCACCTCTGAGATCAATTTCACCATTTATACCAAAAATTTTGAAAACCACAACAGACATCTGTCAATAAAATTAAAATACTAATTAGTAATTAATCTGTATAGTCTCAGATGCTGTCACCAACTTTTTCAAATGACTACACTAATACTATAAAGAATCAATTTAAGTAACTTAAATTCAAAACTACAGAAGACAACTTACAATTTTTAAAAAGATTATATTAATTTTAGTTCTGTACCCACTGAGAACCTCTGCTACCCTCTTCGAAGACAAAATTGCTCATAGCTGCAATTAAATAGGACATAGCCGTTGTACAAATTAATTTCAACTGTTTTATCCTTCAATGCCAGCAGCATTCTTGCTTTGGCCTATTATTTTTAAGATATTTATTAACATAATGTTTATCCTGCTTTCTGTATGATACATCCAAGGCAGCTCACATTTACAAAGCTACAATATCAAAATTAAACTAATGAAGATATCTAAGAAGAAGAAGAAGAACAACAACAACAAAAAAGCTACAACATCAAAATTAAACTAATGAAGATTTCTATCTAACAAGAAGAAGAAGAAGAAGAAGAAGAAGAAGAAGAACAGCAACAGCAACAGCAACAGCAACAGCAACAGCAACAGCAACAGCAACAGCAACAGCAACAGCAACAGCAACAGCAACAAAACAACAACAACAACAACAACAACAACAACAACAACAACAACAACAACAACAACAACAACAACAACAACAACAACAATAGTGTGCTGTCAAGTCAATTCTGGCTTATGGTGACCTCTTTCAGGGTTTTCTACCAAAGGAGTATTCATAAGTGGATTATCATTCTTAGCATCCCGGGGCATGCCCAAGGCCACATAGGTTGGGTCTCCTTGCATGAAAAAGCAACCTCTGGCTCCAGAGCCAGATACTTAACTCAATGAGCTATGAAAAAGATTGACAGCTCACCACTATGAAGACCCTTTCCCATGTTCAAGCAAATGCACCCATGCTAGTATAAATGTAAATTAAAGACCACCCAAGAAGTTGTCTAGAATTTTCACAGTATAAGAGTAATGGCCAACTACTTCCATTTTATTGCCTTCCATTAAGACACAGAGAATACAGATAGTTTCATATTTTAGGTCACATGAGTTTAGAGCTTTAGATGATAACTTGAACTAGGCTTGCAAGCAATGGAAATGAGAGTAATAAGGAAGTCACATGCTTCCAGTTTCTAATTTTAGTCAGTAGTTCCCCTGCCACATCCTGGACGAGTTTCAGTTTTTAAACACTCCTCAAAGGGTGCTCAATTACATGATGCAACAGAAGCATCTCTGTCACAGTAGTCAGATATGACATTTGACAGAGATGGTCAGCGGTGCAGTACTCTAAGAAATTTAAAAGCATTTCCCCCAAAAAGCTCTCCCTAGCTACTCCTGCTAGCCATAAATAGATTCAACATGCTAGTCTCCAAGAGGAGTCCTGTCAAGCCAGGTTGAACACCTTTCAAGCCTTAATCTGGTCACATTCAACTGGCTTACAACCAGCTTCAATTTTTGGAGGCAAAGTTCAGAATCAGAATGTCAATAGCTTTCTTATACTCTGATGGAACTGGGTGTCATCCATATATTGATATGACCATACCCCTAATTACAACTGTTTTCTATCTGATATTGTTTTTATCTTGACTGCTGTAATGTACTTACAGTTTAAGATCATTTGCAAAGCCTCTCTGTGTATAAAAAAGCAGCCCATAAAGTGATGGGGACTGGTCATAAATATCCTAACTCAGCTACAATGGTTACTACTTTGTGTGGCGTTCACTCTTATTATGTTAAATTAAGTCAGGCATTATTCATGATTTATGCTGATGTGGTTGAGAGGTGGGGCCACTAGAGATGTTAAAAGGCGGAGCCTGAGAGGAGAAGGGGGAGAGTTGAGTCAGAGTTAGCGAGGAAGAGGGAGAGAGTTAGTTTGGGAATCTGAGGAGTGATTAGTCTGAGGAGTGAATAGTAACCTGTAAGATAATATAGAAGATTGTTATGGATGCTTGATGAACCTGAAGATACTTATAAATTATTATAGAAATTTCTGTAATCAATAAACCTGTTTTATTCAAAAGACAGTGATGAATGGATCTTCGTCTTTCCTAAGAAAAGTACACAGATAAAGAAATCAACTGGTGGCAGTGTGTGAAAAGGTGTTTTTTTCTGGTTTGCCTTTGTGAGTTCTCTGTTTTGGGGAGGTAAACAGGGGCCACAAGGGGCAAATGTCACACTTTGCTTCTAAGCAAAACTTAAAATATTAAATTATATGTAGTTTGGTAATGTATGCGATATTGTGTACTCTTTGCATCTTACCAGGATTTAAGAATACAGGAGATGTTGTTGGGGGGATGTATGGAAGTTCAGAAGGCTCCAACACAATGTATGCTTTGATGTGTTGTTTACTTTCATCAACCCTGTTTTCCCTAGATCTGCATAATACTGACACTTTTTATTTGCAACTGTACTCTTTGTCCATTATCTAATATGACTGAGGAAATGTAGGAATGAGCTTTTTTTTAAGACCACTCTTAGCACTGCCATTTTATTGTACACTGCCATGGAATATTATAAGGGAGAACTTAAATAAAAACACCATTAGATTATTGTTAAGCCATCCCACAGGACCTCTCGTATCACAGTAATTCATCAAATTGTTACAGTCATACAACACCCAGTCAAATTAATATTAGTAATAAACAACTTTGCCTTGATTTATTCCTTCCCTTTCAAAAGTCTGCTGTAGTCTGTTTATTTTCTACCCATTCAAAAAGTGAGTGTTCTCTTAATAATTACTATTGTTGCTTTTTATTTTATTATACTGTTTTTATTCCATTTTTATTGTTAGCTGCCCAGAGTAGACTTGTGTCTGGATGGGTGGGGTATAAATTTAATAAATAAATAAAATAATCAGAAAAAGCTATAAGTAACAATGAAACTGTTCTGCTCTAAGCAGTGTCTCAATTATAGGAGAAAATGTGTGTACTGTATAAGAGTGGCTAATTAAATCCACCAGCAATAATGACCATATAGATCCCTAGGAGAAAAGACAGCTAGAAAAGACCAGGGGACGCAAAAGCCCCGGAGCTCCCAGTATTTTGAGCACTATTCTTAAGCAAATATTTGATAGCCACTTGCTAATTTCAGAATTAGTAAACTGAACCACTATTTAATATACACTTTTCTTCTAGGGTAGCAATAATTAAAGGCTCCTCCCACACATGACAGCTCCTCCCCACCCAATTTCAACCAAACAAAATTCACTGCCCTATCTCTTGCATTCATTCCCATCAACCTATTTACTTTGAGAGTAGTAGTAATGGAGCATTCCTAAACAAAGAATTGTTCAAACAGGCCCACCTCACTGAAAAGTGTAAAAATGGCCTCCGCATTTGGAGAACATTACCATTTCTTCGCTAGCCTCCTGAGCACCCTCTGAAGCTGCACTGAGGTCATCGGGAGAAGGTCCACCACAATTCTCCATCACTGTACTTTCATCAGGAGTGTTTTCCGCTGGTCTGCTTGACATGATCGCTTGTATAGTCAAGATATTTTTTAAAATAGACGTATTTAGGTTTGTTCTGTATATTCATTCATAAAGCTATTTTATGCTATTGTCACCAGCTTTAAAAGTGGGGGACAGTGTATCACACGAGGACATGCAATGCATATTAAACTAGCTACAAAATAACTAAAGAAAAGTAAGCTACAAAAGAACCTAGAGATTTCAAATATTTTTAACAATTTACCTCATTACCTCATACTCCCCACCTCATCCCCAGATCCATTACTTAATTTTTTACAGATACGGCATATTGACCATCAAGACTTTTGTTTCTTCTGTCTAGTCATGACATATCCACTGTAACCCAGGAATATTGTAGAGAAAGTTGAAGTTTTGCTGCCACCCAAATTACAGGAATGTGTTAGAAATTATTTCCTATTTTAGAGTGCAATGAACAATTCTCAAAGAGTCTTTTAAGCTAAAGATTTGAGGGGTTACTTTGCTGGTAGCTTAAAGTGTTTCAGCATCCATAATAATGGAAGAATTCCTGAATCAATAGGTATTTAAAAAATTTCTAACCATTTTCATTTATTAATTAGGCAACATTTACATACCAGTACTGTCATATTATGCATCGCACTTTAACTTTATTCAGCCTCTGGGCTCAGAACGCTCGGACATTAGCAGCTCCTGTTGCATCTGAGCACTGCCTACATGCTCCAACTCCAGAGTGTGTTCCAATTGGTTTGTTCAGCATGAGCTGACATCAGTTACATAAGGCTCATGAATGGAGAAAGCTAAGTCTCCTGACTGTAGTAAGCTAAGCCTTGTGATTGAAAGAAGCCTGTTTGCAGAGGCAAGGTTTGGGCACCTTTGCAATTGTGCGGTTCTCTCCTTGGCTTACTTCCGTGTATAAGAGGACCCTCCATTTTTATTTTAAACAAAAGTAATGTCTCCCAACACGGAAAAATACGGTACCATATTTTTCCATTTATAAGACACACACCCCACTTTTCTACCCCACAAATTAAGAAAACTAAGTTTTGAGGATTCCTTTCTAACCCACAAATTAAGAAAACTTAGTTTTGAGGATTCAGCCTCTAGGCTCAGAATGCTCAGACACTAGGAATCCCTGTTGCATCTCCAGGCTCCACCTCTGATGAGGTGTGTTCTAATTGGTTTGTTCGGCATCAGCTGACATTAGTTCCATACGACTCGTGTGTTCTAATTGGTTTGTTCGTCATCAGCTGACATTAGTTCCATACGACTCGTGATTGGAGGAAGCCTTTTTACAGAGGTAAGGTATGGGCCGTTTTGTTCTCGTCTCAGCTTACTTCATGATTGGAGGAAGCCTTTTTACAGGCCGTTTTGTTCTCGTCTCAGCTTACTTCCATGTATAAGACACCCCTCAATTTTTAGTGTAAACATATTAGGAAAAATTAGTGTCTTAGATACAGAAAAATACGGTAATTCCTTTCCTTTATTGTGGGAGAAGGCTTTGAGTAGTGTGATAAATTCTGCATGCCGCTGAGAGACATACACCTCCTTTTTGCTGTTAAGCACAACAAGAAATAAGAGTAAGTGCCTACCATTGTACAACATAAAGGCCAAAGATGCCATTCTATTGTGCATGCTGCTGAGAGACATACACCTCCTTTTTGCTGGTCAGCACAACAATGGTAGATTTAAAGAAATAAGAGTAAGTGCCTACCATTGTGCAACATAAAGGCCAAAGATGCCATTCTATTTTTCAAAAATGTTTTGCTTTTATTAATTTATCATGCTCAATTTAAGAAAATGCCAAAGACAACAAATTTACAATTCTCAGATAGACGCTCTTGGAGGACAGTTCCCAAGATGAGAAAAAGACTGCAGAAGTAACTGGTAGGCAGACAATAGAACTATGTATCTAATACCACAAGGATCTGTCTCTGGCTAAAAAAGTTGTTCTTTTGAAATTTGGCTTGCATTTTAACTTATAAATTTCTCTCAAATCAGCATTTAAACACTAAATTAGATACAAAAATATATTCTAATCATAATCACTCTGATTTATATAATAAAAACTTGGCTATCCATTAACTGATAAAATTTAGTCACAATTTATATTACAAGAATCCAGTCTGCTTAGCTAGCATGAATTATGTTGACAAGTAATGTCAAATAGAAGCTCATCACCTATATGGGAAACCAAGCCTATAAACTCAAGGGACCAGGTAACAATGTGTAGCATTTTCTCTATAATGGTAATCACTGAATAATCCCAACATTGTAGCCAAGAAATCTCCAAATATCTCCACTGATTTCATTTTAAAGATATAAACGAAAGCCAGTGCTAAACATTAGTACAATAAGAAGCTCAAAATAGATAATGATTGTTTCATGCAGTGATTTTTTTAATCACCAAAATGAGTTGAATAGTAAGTTTCCTTACCTCTTTCAAAAAAGCTTTGGCTATCACTTCCATCACTCTCCAAGTAGTGTTCCTCCAACAACATGCTATCAGTAGAAATGGTATCCAAAGAGGCTTGTGATGGACTTTTCTTCATATTCTTATAAGAAACAGAGAATGCAGGGAGATTGGACTGGCAGGGTTCCTTAGGCTTTCCACTTTTTAATATAAAGATATTAGGAAATCATTACTTAAGGTGAAAAAAGTTACAAAAGAGCAAAACTGAAAACAAATGGTGGAAATATAAATGGTAGAAGTTCTGAGAGTGAAATCCAGCAGTGTAATTTATTCAGCTTGGACTTCTGTATTCTAGATGAGTATTTCTATGCAATCTGCATGGCTCTATCACCATCTTGGGGATGCTTTACCATCACTAGAGCTTGAATGTGCTATGCAGGTAAACTATGTCACCTTCTAAATCTTTTCTAAATACTGGGAATTCTTCCTCTACTCTAACCACCTATCTCCCGATGATCATTCCTCAAGATCTCTGTTTTCTTCCCTTTCTTGTCACATCTTGCCAGGTGTTCTGTCTTATTCATTTAAGCCCTGCCTCCCAGACACTTCTGGTGACAGCTGGCACTTGCATAGAAATATTCCACCTATTACAGAAGAAATGCTTAGCATGTAGGAGAAGCCATCACACAGAACCCCCTTCCTAAGTCCTAACAATGGTAACATGCAGAACAGGCTTAAGTCTTGAAATACATGGGAGTGCCTTTTACTTTAGTATGTTAATTTCAACTCTGAACGCAAACAACCAGCAAACCATTACATTTTCTATACCTTAATGAAGGTGGAAATACAAGCATTTTGGCTGCGGTCAACTTTTCTTTGTCATTTTCAACCTCTTCAGACTGCCAAACATCAGATTCAAACTCTGCAACTTTCTGAAGTGTGCCTCCTACTCCACTTTCCTTATTCACAAACTCATTTTTGTCATGTTCCTTGTCCGTAAGCATCTCAATAGAACCTTCTTTGCAACTTAAAACATTAACCAGTTCCCTGGCATATGTGCTACTCTTATCACTTACTGACTCACAAATTTCTTCTGAATCACTTCTACTGAAGAGTCCACTGCTATTTTCATCATTTATTTTTTCAAACAGTTTTTCTGATGCGTCATCTGAGAAAGAACTTCCTCTTCGCAAATCCGTATCACTGTCTGATTTGAAAAGCGGATCTGTCAGAATGGCTTTACTAATATCAGCATTTGTATCTAAGTTGCCTATCTGGGCAGCATGAGGAGGTATTAGCTTGTTTTCTGATGTACACATTTCTCCATTTTCCACAGGTGAGAGATCTGAAGCCACTGGACTTTCTTCTTCCAAAACAGGAGATTTGCAAGCGGTTCCCTGTGTCAGTGGATGGAGTAACAGAGCTATGTCTGCACTTTTCAGCAAGATCCCAATACAAACATCTGCCTGTTTAGCAGGTTTTCCTGTCACAGTCTCTACATCTTTCCTTAAGTTATCGAGGAGCAATACTAGGGATTCTTGGAGGTAGAGTAAGAAAAGATACTGGTAGTGGTTGATCTGCATGCTCACATGTTTTTGAATGTGAACAAGAACATGAACATCTGCATCAGTTCTAAAGCATGTAGATGGGAATCCTGAAATACTGTTCACAGGGCACAGGTTTTCTGTACCATTGGTCAAGGTTTCTTTCTCAGTGCTATAATATTCTTTCAGAAGTCTTTTACGATGTAATCGACCAGCAAAGTCACTAGAATCACTTTTTGCAACATTAAGAAGTTTGTGCCCATAGGAGAAAGGCTCTTTAAGTGACTGTTCAAATCTTGTTGGCTGGCAAATCCACAATGTAAGTGGGAATGAGTCCACAAAGCTTATTGGCCTTCCTTTCCCGCTCTTCATTCCTTCATAGTCTACCCAGAATTGGGAGAAATGCACTGCCCAGACATCAGAAGCAGCAGATGTTTTAAGTGCACATTTGTTTAGTCTGGGGACAATAAAGCCTTTGTAGATGTCATGCATCTTTGTATCTTGCTCATAAGCATGTCGCTGGAAGATTGGATGCAAAAGATTAAAACAGTCCGGGGATTTTGGAAAACTTGTGAAAGTTCTGCTGAAAAATTCAGAGTCTTTAAAGTTTTGAAACACTGCTTCCAAATCAGAGTGTCTACAGTTGGGCGAGTGTCTAGTGTTTGTAGCAATCACTTCAGAACTCTGGATGGAAATTGCATTTGGGTCATCCCTATGATTTTGTTTCCTCTCAGAAGGAATTATGAACTGCAATAAAAACAAACAATGGTTAGGAACCGCAGGTTACTCACCTGTAATTATAGTTCTTCAAATGGGCCTCTGTGATTCACATTGTGGGTGATCCGCGCCTGCGCAGAGCCTCTTTGGAATATTCTACAGCTTTTGCAGTAGCAAAAAACACATTAGAATAGACCCCTCCCTCTCGGTATAAGTACCTTGGCGTCAGGACTCTCCCTTCAGTTGTGTCAACCACCGCAAGAAAAAAATATTGCATGGCGTGACAGAGGGGAGGTCGGGTGGGATCTGTGAATCACAGAGGTCCACCTGAAGAACTACAATTACAGGTGAGCAACCTGCCGTTCTTCTTTGTGGCCTCTGTGAATCACACTGTGGGTGATAAGCTGTCTTACCCAGGAGTAGGGTGTCACGCCAAGGTGGAAGCCAAAACAGCATGTCTGAATGCTACATCAGACTTTTGTCAAACATCTAGTCTTTAATGTCGGATGAAAGTACATGGTTGTGCCCACGTAGCCAGGTTGCAGATTTCAGGGAGAGGCACCCCACATAGAAATGCTGTAGAGGCCACTAACACCCTGATGGAATGAGGGTCAATAGCTTGAGGGACCAGCTGTCAAGCAAGCTGGTATGCAAGCTGAATAGTAGAGGCAACCCAGTGGGAGATTGTCTGGGAGGTGACTTGTAGGCCTTTGTTAGAGAGTTCATAACTGACAAAAAGGCATGGGGAATGTCAAAAGGGTTGCGTTCATGACAAATAAAAGGAGAGGGCTCTCCTGACGTCCAAAATATGAAGAAATTGTTCATGGATTGTTGCGGGAGGCATCTTTTGCACAGGTGGTAGAAAATTGTGTGATCTAATTCCCACTCGTGGGGTTGAGAGTTTGTGCGGTTGAGAGAGTTGGCTAGGTTGTTGTCTTGGCCTGCGATGTGCAGAGCTGTGAGACATATGTGGGGTGAGAGGTACCATTCCTATAGGTTGACCGCCAAATAGAGGAGGCTTGGGGAGTGTGTGCCTCCTTGTTTGAGAATATAGTACATGGCTGTGCTGTTGTCAGTGGCAATCTGGACCACCTTGCCAGCTAGGCCGTTTCCAAATGCTTTGTATGCCTTTATCACAGTTAATAGTTCTAACTCGTTGAGGCGCAGTGAACATTCTCTGTGGGACCAATTGGTGTGTATTTTTAGAGAGCCACATTGTGCTCCACAGCCAGTAAGGCTAGCATCAGTTATGACCTGTATTTGAGGACGGGGTTGCTGGAAAGGGCATCCCATAGACAGATTTGGGACGAAACGCCACCATTGGAGTTGTGAAGCAAGTTCAGGAGTAACTCTTAAAAGAGTGTTGGGAGGATCTGTCAGTGAGTCGAAACATGCGAGGAACCATGACTATAGAGACCTCATCTTCAGGCGTACGTGTTGTATGACTGAGATCATAGAGGCCATGATACCTAGTACATGTTGGACGAGGATGGCAGGAACCAATGCATGGGTGTGTGTGAAACCTTGGAGAAGGGAGATGAAGTTTTGTTGTTTGTCAAGTGGGAAGAATGTGCGAGCTTGGGTGGAGTCTATGGAAGCCCCAATGTAATGACTAACCCTTATAGGACTCATTTTGGATTTTTGCATGTTGACTGTGAGATTGAGATCGCGAAGGAAGAATAAGGTGAAAAGGATGTCTCTGCGAGCTTTGTGGTGGGAACAAGCTACAAGGAGCCAGTTGTCTATGTATGGGAAGATGAGGATCTTTTGAAGTCTGAGGAAGGCAGCCACTGGGGCCGAGCACTTGGTGAAGACTCTGGGAGCTGTTGCAAGTCCAAAAGGAAGCTTTTTGAATTGGTAAGCTTGGGGCCTGAGGTGGAATTGAAGAAACTGTCTGTGGGAGGGGTGGATGGAGATGTGGAGTATATAACTCATAGATCTATGACTGTGAACCAGACGTTTTTTTCTGAGAAGAGGTAGAATGTATTAAAGGGTCACCATATGGAATTTTGTGGTGATGACATGTTGATTGAATTCTCTGAGGTCTAGAATAGGTTGTAAACCTCTTTTTTTGGGGGGGGACAGTGAAATACCAAGAGAAAAAACGTCATTTTGTTATATAGGTTCTGTTGAGTCCTTGATGAGCAAATTTTTTATCGCTTCTTGTAGAGTTTGGGACAGTGGAGCGACAATGTGATGAGAGAGTTGATGGAAATGGATGCAGTATCCGTTTTGGACAATGGAAAGAACCCAGGTGTCCGTGGTGATAGACTGCCAGGCAGGTAAGTGTTTTGAGAGAAAAGGGGGTTGATTTGTGATCTCGGTCGGGAAAACGTCGAACATGATGTTTGGGTTTGTGGTCATTGCGCCTTTGGATAGGTTGCTGGTGAGGTTTTTGTTTGTGTTGTTTAAATTACGGTAGTGTATAAGTTCTGACTTTGGGATTGGTGTTGGAACCTCTGGTAAGAATTGTAAGGTGCCTCCCACTGATTGTGTCAGGGGTGCTGTTGATAAGTGGGATACATGCCCCATCTTTTGCCGGCAGAACTTATCTTCTGAACATTGTCTAAGATGTCATCAAGTCTTCAATACGTGCTCGGGCATCTTCCATAAGGCCGGCTGTTCTTAGCCAGGAGAAAGTCTGAGTGTGACAGAGGTAACTATGGATTTAGTTGTGGCGTCTACGGTGTGTTAGGCAGAACATTTGCTGTTTGGCGACAGAGAGACTTCCTGTTGGAAGGTTTGTGCTAACAGTTTCTTGTCTTCTGGTAAAGAGTCAAGAAAAGCGGCCATGTTATCCCAAAGGAAGTGTTGATATGCCCCTGTGACAGACAGGTCAGGAACCACTCCTGTCCATCACAATAGAACCTTGACAGATCAACCAATGGGTGAACAGAAGAGGCTGAACGGAGGATATTTAAGAAGAATGGAAGGCAGTTAAAGTTCAGTTGGAGATATGAGTTAGTTAGAGAGAAATGAGAGAGAGTTAGAGAAGATTTCAGTGAGAGTCTGTGTTAGAGATGTCAGTTAAAGAGAAGAAGTTAGGCAGTTAGGACCAGTCTTGGGTTAGATAAGGGTAACATATAGAACAAGAAAAGAAATGAACAAACACTTGAAGTAACATGATTTTATCCAAGCTAATATAAATGTCATAAAAGCACAGCTGATTTACTTGTGAACATTTTAATAAATATTGTTTAATTGAATCAGACTGATTGAAGAGTTATATTTGATGTAATGAGGAGTAACTCCTCTGGTGGCAGCAGAAAGAGTTGAAAAATAAGTGTCACACCTGTAAGTGAACCTGGGTTGTGGAGAGAAACAAACAGGGAAACGGGGTGCGTCACAGCCCCCATAGCTCCTTGGTAGTTAGCTACCCTCATAGTAAAAGCCGCTGATGAGTAAAGCCACCTGCCCATAGAGTCAATTCTTTGACTGTCTTTATTAGGTGGGATAAGGGACTGTGGGTTTCGAGATCTGGATTGCGAGGCCTCAACAAATATCGAATTTGGAGAAAATGTGCTCCAGGGTCGTGTATCTGACAGAGATTATCGATTCTCTTTGAGACCGAATGAGAGGAGCCTGGTTTAGTCCAAGATCGCTGAGCTGAGCTAAGAAGAGATGGTAGCTTGGAAATATGGATTGGGGTAGTTGTGTCCTTGGAAATAGGATCATAAAGGTGATCCGCCAGTTCGGTTATGGGGCAATGTGTTTTTTGCTACCGCAGAAGCTCTAGAATATTCCGAAGCGGCTCCGCGCAGGCGCAGATCACCCACAGTGTGATTCACAGAGGGCACGAAGAAAAACCATAGTTGATACAGAACAGCACATTTTGATTAAATGGTTCTCATACAACAGAAGTGGAAGATGTGACAGAAAAGTAACCTGCTCCTATTCCAAAATAAGTTGGGTTGGTATGTGACTCCATCAAGATTTCTGTAGAGTGTAGGGTTGGAAATCCCCAATTGGTACGGTCTTGCTTATTTAAGAAGAATGCTGAAGTGGCACATGCATGGTGAACTGCTTGCACAGTACAAGACTTGGAGGGATTACTTCATTACACCGAAGAGCAAATTTTTAATGGAAGACTAAGAAGAACAAAATATATGTGGCAAATAAAACCACAAAAATATAGTAGTGTTTGCTGGTATATTTTATGCTTTAACAGATTTACTGTGATACACATTTTGGCAACTAGAGTTTATAACAGCACACACAATACTGGCTAGATTATATCTTTCTTCTTTTGAAATTAAACACAACCAGTCTGAAGCTTCTAAGCAACTTTTCACTTACATACAAGCTGAATCTACTGGCCATGCCCCAAATGGTTCAGAAAAACACCTCACATCAACTCATGGATTCAGTTTACGATTAAATCCCTGATTTTTTTTAAGTTTCTAGATTACTACACTATGCTAAAAGAGTCCATGCACCTTGGCTATACTGAGCAATATCACTGTAGATATTCTTTCCCAAGGGTAACCACATTAACTGATTCCCCACCTGTTGCATCTCTGTTCTTTTTTTTTAACAAGCATTCCAGTTCCTTCATTTTAGCTTGGAAACTTTTAGCATGAGAGGCCAATATAAAAGATACTCAAGTTTTATGTTCCCTTTTAACTGCCAGATGCCTTAATAGAAAGTTAAATAGCCATGCATACTATTGCCCCATATGTGATCACAACAGTCAGAAAGGTTGTGTGGTGCCCAATGTTAGATAAAGACAAGTTTTCCAAAACATGCTCCAATTTAAAAAGCTTCCAATGTTCAATTAGAATTAGAGATGAGGGAAGGTAATATTCTGTGTCATGTATATGTAATTCAGAAGCTGGTCTTTATTAGTAACACATTTATTTTACTTCAAGTAGCTATTCTTATACATCATTCACTGCAGGAATATAACACTGAGCAACATTGAGCTGTATCTTTGCAAACAGTACCTTTATCATTAACCCATCAACTCGGACATCAACATGTTCTTCTGACTTTGAATTATCATTTAACTTGTACATGGCCATGAACTGACTGAGACTCTGTTTCAAGTCCAGCACAAACTGGTTTAACCAAAGCATACTCCTCTCATCCAGAGTGAACTGCAAAGCATTTAGCTGGACGTACAGGTTGGAGTTGGGAACTAAAGGAAATAAAAACAAATTATTTCATTGAAAGCATTTTTAACCTAGTACCATTCTCTCTAGTATCTTATCGAGGACATGAAAATTATTCTAAATCCAATACTGTAATCAAATGAACAGCTGATTTGGAAGCTCATGTTCTAACTGCATATGGAATATTATTACTGAAGAATTAAAATGACTTTTGCCTGAAAGGTAACGAAGCACTGACGGTGAACAAGCAAATGGTTGCTTGATAGCTACATAACTACAAGTGAGACCTGCAAGAAAATGTTGCAGAGATTAGTGTTCTTATTCAGTGTTCCACCCAGCCATGATTACTTTCAGGATATTTCATTCTATCCTACTCCCAACATTTCCCATGTTTTTGTGTTCTCTTCCTCACTACATATAGTTACCATTCAACTGCCACTGAAAATTGCCATTACTCATTGGGTTGTTCTTCTGGATGAACTGATCTCCTGGGAGGGACTACTCTTAGGGTTTGCTTCGCAAAGCATTTTTTACACTTCTAGAAGGTTTCCCTAAATGCACTGATAACTCCATCATACTTCTCAGGAGCCCCATCTGGCTATGCAGCCATCATAACATACCAGCCAGATTCATTTGACAGAAGGGGGGTGGAATATGCCTGTACATATGCAAAGAGCATACGCTTATAAACTCAGTAACTGGGTGGGCAGGGGGAGCATTCTCAACAGAAGAGTTAGTTAATTCTCAGTTACATCGCTTCTTCTAATATCAAAGAAGTACAACTAACAGACTGAATCACAAGCTTCAGGTCTATTCCTTCCATTTCCAAAAGCATCTGGACAGAAAAAAAAAGAACTAACAATTTCAAATGGCCTGGCAGCACTAAGAGGAAAAGGCAGCACTGTACCTCCCCCCTCCCCCAAAGGGCTTAAACTACCATCAGCACAGCTGGAAACTACCTCCAAGTTGCACAACTCCAGCTACACCAAAACTACAATGCGCGCTTAACAGATAATTAACGCATACACAAAGACACACAAATCAAAACGGAACAAAAATCCTTACTAGGAAAGTCCTTTCCATCTGGATAGTAGTATTCAGTGAATTCAATATGAATGGCTGGCATTTCTGATGGAAGGTATAGAGACTTTTTATTGCAAGAAATAAGAGTTTTAGGAGAACAACGATACTGCTCTGCTGTAGAGACCTGAAAAGATGAAATTCATTAACAAAGACTAGTGAAACCTCCATGGTATTTCAGAATAAATGATTAATCTACTCTGCAATTTGTGTGCTGGGTTTCTTAGCTTTAAATTGCTGTCTTACTGTTTTGTTCCTTACTAAAGCATGACTTAAGAAAAATTCATTTATGCTTTGAATAACTGGCTTGAATACCACAATGATGAAAAGAATGTTTAAAATGTAAAGGTAAAATTCATGTTATAATATCACTTATTAAAATATAAACTAAGAAAGTATAATTCTTTTTGTACAAGATTAAATCGACTTACGAACGTCCCTACTTACGAAATGTTCAACTTACGAAAAGCTCTGCTTGAAAAATTTTGCTTCGACTTGTGAGCGAAGCTTCCACTTACCAACACAAAAAAAAAGTCAAGGGAAAAAGGTGGGAAATTCAAATTCATAGAGGCACCGGCCAGTGAAGCCGGGAACCTGGCGGCAGGAGAAAGTGAGCCTTTTATGTCTGATGTTACTCTATTCTTTTCATATGAGTTTCTTGCAGGCTCATTTTATCCCTCTTTTTAATTAAAGTTTTCTTTCCTCTTCTTAGATCCTCTCTTTTCCATGGTGGACTTTCCTTTGGTGCTTCCCATTTGGTTTTCTAGCTGAAATTCTGAACTTCCTTCTGAGTTTGGTCCTAATGATCCACTTGATTGCTCCTCTTCCTGTTTCTCATCTGTCTTTTTCTCTTCTTTCCTACCCAGTCATTTCCCCCTTTTTTTCATAAAGTCTTCTGCCTTCATCATTGAATTAATAGAATATCTCTGCACCTGGAATTGGAAAGAGAGACCTTCGGGTATCAATCACTTATATTAACTGAGTTTGTTCTCAGGAAATCTGTCAGCTCCATGTATTGTCTCTCCTTTTCTGCCTTCTCTGCCATGGAATATATTTCAAAATCTTACTTTCTTTTCCTTTTATTGTGGATCCATTATCTTGCATATTTCTTACAACTTTTCCTCGAAATACTATTCTCGTGAATTTAACATTTTCTCTGGGAAGTTTATTATTCCTGGTGTATGCTGTATTAATTCTTCGTGCTATATCTATATTTTTCTGTACTTCCTCTGGTTGCATCTCCATAAGTGGGGCTAAAAAGCTATTTACCAATTATATTGTGTCTTCACCTTTTTGTTCTGGAAGATTCTGGAATCTGAATATGAGGCTGGCTCTCTCCATTTGTAACTTTAGCAGGTTGATTTAATCTTGTTTTCTTTCATGTTGCATCACTACCAGTTCTGCATTCATAATCTCTTTTTAAAGGTTTCTTTTATTTTGGCTATTTCTTTTTTAATTTTTTATAATTTGGTGTTTGATATCAATCATCTGCGACCTTAATCTTGAATTTGTTCAGATAGCTGAAACATTCCTCCTTGTTTCTGATGTAATCCTGTGGATAACATATTTTGAATGTTCTGTTGCCAATCCTTAAGTGTTTCTTGCCCCAATAATTTCAAATTTTGTGCCTGCACAGGTGAGCCTCTCAGGGCCTTTTCCTTCCCCCCCTTCGTTGTCATCTTCCAAATTTCTTAAAGATGCTATCTAGTTTCTTTCCAGCAGGTGTCGCTGCTGCCCCACCTTTCATTCAAACAACACCCATTTACATAGCCCATCCAAATCATAGGTCAGCACCCCCCTGTCAAAATGTTCTCGCAGTCACCAGTCAAAACAATGAGTGTTTAAGATAATAAACAATCCCTTGAGGCTAGTAACATCAGCAGTTCAATTTTTCTCTCCAGCCTCAGTAATTAGAGGTAGGTCCTTGGATCAAAGCTGCTTCAGGCTTCAGGAAGGAGGGTCGCCTCCATCATGGTACCAAAGGAAACCAAGGAAATAAATGTGCCTCCGATCCAGTGATGTTACACAATCCCAAACTCTTCTTGAGTTCAAGAGTTCTATATTTAATTCTAGTTTCCTCCATCAGCATTGTAATTAGACTGTTTATGATTAAACTGTTTTGCAGGAGTGAGCCTTTGATTAAAGCAGTTCATTCACCAAATAACTTTATCCCCTCCTCCCTCTTTCTCCTTCTCTTTCTTCTCCTTTTCTCGATCAAGGCTGGGGGATGGGGGGAAGGGTGCTCTACTGTGGCTCAAAGGGTTACAGGAGCTAATCTGCTTTCATTAAGTTGGTAAGCCCAGATTTCTTCTGTGTCATTGTTTTAGGTCCATAAAGGTTTCTTTATATAAAACACATATCTTGACTGGTCAGGATATTTTTGAAAGTCCTTTACTCCTCCACTTTCTGCAAGGGGTGTTCTCGGCTCTTTGTCCAACATGGCTTCCACCTCGGTTCCTGCACTCAGAATGACTGTGTGTGTGTGTGTGGGGGGGGAAAGCAGCTTTTGCCAATTTCTCTCCCCTTTCTGTCACCTCTGCTGCTTCAGATGCTGTTTTTTCCTAGTGGACTATCCTTTGCCCTCTACATTCAGGGCCTTGAAACTGAGGGGTCTTGGTCTCTTTCAGGAGCTCTCCCAAAACCTGATAGGTCTCACTCTGACAAAACCCCACCTCCCAGATAGACAATATCCACTGGTTCGCCCACATCCACATGCCTGTTGACCTTTTCAAAGCCCATCCAAAACACGTCAGCACCTCTTTCTCGCCAAAATGTTCTTGCAGCCACCAATCAACATGAGTGTTTTAAGACAGGGGTCTCCAAACTGTGGCCCACAGACCGTATCTGGCCTGTCTTGCCTTTTTATCTGGTCCGGTGAATGCCGTAGGCTCAGTGCCACAGGCTGAGGTCCGTTCCCTTCAGCCTGTGTGTGCGGGCGTACACGTGTGTGCTCCTTCGGCCCTCGAAAATGTGTTTTCTGATTCTAATTTCCTCCATCAGCATTGTAATTAGACAATATGTGATTAAACTATTTCACAGAAGTGAGTCTTTGCCTTTGATTAAAACAGTTCATTCACCAAATAATTTTTCTCCTCTCCTCCCTCTTTCTCTTTCTTCTCCTTTTCCTGATCAAGGCTGAGGGATGGGGGGGAGGAGGCTCACTCTACCACAACTTGAAGGGTTACAGGATCTAATCCACTTTCATTAACTCGTTAAGACCAGCTTCCTTCTGTGTCATTGTTTTAGGTCCATAAAGGTTTCTTTATATAAAACACACATCATACTAAAGAGTCCAAGTCAGGATATTTTCCAAAATCATTCTGTACTCTTCCACTCTCTGCAAGGAGTGTTCCAAGCTCTTGCCCAACACGGCTTCCATCTCGGTCCATGCATTCAGAAATATTTCAGGGGGTGGGTGGGACAGCTTCCACCAATTTTTCTCCCCTTTCTGTAGCCTCTGCTGCTTCAGACACCGCTTTTCCTAGCGGACCATCCTTTGCCCCCTACATTGGGGGTCTCGAAACAGAGGCGTCCTGGTCAGTTTCAGGAGCTCTTCCAAAACGCAACCAGTCTTGCTGCGACAAAACCTCGCCTCCCAGAAAGTATAATTCTAAAAGCTACATTTATGTCAACTGTAAGGAAACCAAGAGGTATAGAATAAATCTAGACTGTTTCATAACTATGTCTTCAAACAAAACTATGAACAACTTGAATTCTAAGTGCAAAGTTAAAAGTGGCTAGAAGAGTAGTAAAGTTTTCTGTGGAACCCAACTTCCTTTCCCACCTTCATTTCCCCAAGATTGAAATAATTCAAGAGATGCTAAAACACAAATCATTGAGACAAAATAATCTTAAACCTTGATTTTGAGGGAGGGGGAAGCACATATTCCATCCGAAATGGATTAATTTGGTATCTCTAATCACAGTCATATTACGTCAAGACACTTCATAGAAATACATATTGCATCTTTATTGCAACAAGAAACAGAAGAACTGATTTCAGTGACTAGTATAGAAATATACCTGATAAATGTTAACATCTGCAAGTCTAACCACCACAGGGCTGGACATTAATTTATCCTTTGGTTGCTCCAATGACACAGACGAAGGCTTAGCAATTTCTTTAGGTACTTGTTCCTTGCCTGGAAGAAGTAAAGGATATAAAATCATGAACAGGATATAGTTTATGCTTAACTATATTCAGAGAGAGATTCCAGTTCTCTCCTGACCTTGTACTACAAAACACATTGTAAAAGCTATGTATGAGGTGTGTCTGCTGCCTCTGAATGCAACTGTGATTTTAAAACTTTGCTCTATGTTGTAAACACCCTAGAAAACCTTTTCTTATATAATTTACAAATAACCATGGATACAATCCTAACCATTCCAAGATGGTTGAGGGCCAGCTGGGCTATACTCAGCTGACGCTATGCTGAATCCCTCTATCCGGCTGCTGGAAATTTCCAAGGACTACCCTCATCTTAGGGACATGACGGTGCTGCAGATTAAACTGCAGAAGACTCTGTGCTACAAGGTCAGAAGACCAGCAGTCGTAAGATCGAATCCACATGACGGAGTGAGCTCCCGTTGCTTGTCGCAGTTCCTGCCAACCTAGCAGTTCGAAAGCATGTAAAAACGCGAGTAGATAAATAGGCCCCACCTCGGTGGGAAGGTAATGGCGTTCCGTGTCTAGTTGCGCTGGCCACGTGACCATAGAAACTGTCTTCAGACAAATGCTGGCTCTATGGCTTGGAAATGGGGATGAGCACTGCACCCTAGAGTCAGACACAACTGGTCTAAATGTCAAGGGGGACCTTTACCTTTACCTACCGTCATCTTGGCTTAAGTAGGTTTGAATCTGGTATAGAGCCCTCCTTCATCCCACCCCTTCTCTACCCGCTTCTTTGGCTCTCCTGCTAGCTGATCTTAGCCAGGACAGCAGCTGAACACGGAGGTCCTTCCACCAGCAGATCTCTGAAATCACCCAGCTTAACAGGTTCTGCCTATGCCAGGATAAGAAGATGCTACTCAAACCCCTTATACCTTTGACAGTGAAATCTCTGATTTATGATTTCACTGTCAAATACAAATTAAATTTAACAATGTTAGCAACAGGAAATTCATTAGTTTTCTAAAATGCAAATGATATTTGCTTTAGTATAGGTGTTCACACTTGTCAGACTTTTGCAGGCATCTCCAACCTCATTGTGTCTTTTCTTTTAGTATTTTAAGCACCAGTCTGAAAAAACTAGATTTTGCACTCCCATGGAAATGAGAAATTCTTAGGGGGAAATAATATAAAAGCTAAGAAATCATGACCAAATACTTCCAATGCAATTGCACGATTGCTTCCAATCAACTTAGTGGAGTCTATATCCATGAAATGCACTGTAAGGTTTGAGTGGAATATTATTCAATGTTTCCCAATAAGTAATATAATACTGACTAGAATGAGATACCTGTCTGTACGTGCTGAGGAGACCCCTGAGGTGAGGATTCAGTGGGAGACTCTCCTCCGTGATCCTTCACAGCCTGCTTAAGCAATTCTACATTGTTTCTGAATTCCTGTAGTAATTCTTCTGCCCATCCGCTTCTGGCTTTGGTAGCATCGCTAAAATGCATCCAATGGCTGCAGCTGTCATCTAAAAATATTACACATATTAACAACTCCAGAGTTTTCAGTATGTTTTAAAGTTCTTTACCACATAAGCCTATTTACAGCCATTTTGAAAGAATATATTCTAGTTCATTTCTAAATTCCTACTTCTGTTATATCTATGTCTAATGCACTAACAGCTTAATGACTACAAAAATAGTTCCACTGGATCAGTTCAAAATCCCATCTAATCCACAGTGGTTTCCTCAGTGACCTGTCAGATCCAGCTGGAAAGTCAAGAAACAGGAAGAGTACAGCCCACTTCTGTTGCTGCTTAATGATGTAGATCTCTTTTTTTTAACATAGAATTTCAGACATAAGAAACTGAGCCATTAAAGTAGCTATTGGTGCCATTTGCCTATTTTACAAGGTTAATACTACTTACTAGATAACAGGATTGTTGTAGAGGTTATAATACACATGAAATGTTAGAAACATTATAAAAAGAATTCTAAAATATTTAAGTAAATATTTCAAGAGGGAACAGTTTTCACACAAGGTAGTGAATCTGCAGTACTGTCATTTCATTTGCTATAATATCATACCACATGCCAGGAGATGTATCACTCAGTATGAGAGGGTTTGATAATTATAATCATAAATTAATTACAAAAAACTAGTGTTGTTAAAACAATTTATATAAATATGATCAATAAATACTACAAATGAGCATTTAAACTTACCTGCTTTGTGAAAAGGGTAGTAGTCTACGGTTAGTTGACTAAAAGATAGCTGCATAGCACCTCCTGAAACACGTCTGTTTGCATCTGCAAAATAACACAATATTTAGCAATGCATATACGACGAGCAAAATCCTGTTGTGCAAAATTAAGCTGGAGAAAATCAGATCTGATGCTGGAAATATTTAAATTAAATGAAATAAATAAATGCAAATAAATAAATACATCTGCCTCAGAACCTGAAAGCAGGGATAGAAAACTTTCAATTAATTTAAATGATTTCCAGTGTTAGATCTGGTGTATGTCAGCATAACTTTACATAGCAGAAATTTACCCATTGATATTTATTGTTTTCCTTAACAAGGAACATCCTCTCATCGATGCCTTCTAAAGCAACATCTTCCTATTTTTTGTTAGCTCTCGAATGGCTATCCTATGAAGATCTATGGGGAAATGCGTCTTTCCAGCTGTGGGGTTACTCCTTTGTGTCAACTGATATGAGAACATTTATAGGCTGAAATCCTGTTGCTTAGCATAGTAAGTTGTTACGACAGTAGTCCATTGAATCAGTGGAACTTATAAAGAAGTTGACTCACCAAATCCTGACTGATTCAATGGGCCTGCTCTAGCTGTGGCTTACTACACTAAGCAACAGGATTTCCGCCATTTCCCCCTTTTTGTACATTCTTTCACTAACTGCATTTCTAGCTTGCCTATTTTTTGTCCCTTACTTATTGTCACTTGCATCAAAGCCCTATCCATTACACAGGAATGGGACTAGAGATGGGCATGAACCACTGGTTCAGCAGTTCGGCTGATGGCTTTGCAGGTGTTCTACAATTTGGCACCCCACCCCCTCCAGTGGGCACCTACTCAGAGGCAGCACCCAGAGGAGGCAGGGAAGGGAAGCCGGGACACTGCCTCTGACTGGGCACCTGCTGGGGGGGCAGGGTACTGAACTGCGGAACAACTATACAGCCATCAGCTCAACCAGCATGAACTGCGAAATACCAGTTCATGACCATCTCTAAATAGGACACATAACCTTGATACTATGAGTATCATACTATAAACAGGCAGAAAATACAAAATGAGGGGAAAGGGCTGATAATTCCTAGCCACAAGAGTCTGAATACCAGTCACTAACAGTGCTGCCTCCACTTACGGAATTAATCCGTACTGGAAGGATGGCCGTAACTCCAAATTTTCGTAAGTCGAAGCACCATTTCCCATAGGAATGCATTGAAAACCGATTAATCTGTTCCAGCCAAAGAAAAAATACACCCCCAAAATTGACCACCTTTGCCGGTGAAGCCTGGGCTTCCCCGCCGCTGTGACAGAGAACGTCTGCCCCCCCCATCAATTCATCCCAAGGATGTGGAGGTACCCCCCCAAAATTGACCACCTCCGCCGGTGAAGCCTGGGCTTCCCAGTCACTGTGACAGCTGCCTCCCAAGGTTCCCCGGGAGAACTTCCAGAGAACTTCTGCCCCGCCCCATCAATTCATCCCAAGGATGTGGAGGTGGGAGTCTATTTATTAGTGATACCTATTGAATTGTTGATCGGATTCCAGGAGGGGGCTGTCAAACGCCCATCGTCACCCCTCACCAGAGAGCCATGCCTGACTTTGTTCCCTTCTGCTGGTCTCCCAGTCTTTCAATGCAGCCGGCATTGGCGCCCAGGTGTCAAACGCCCTTCGTCACCCCTCACCAGAGAGCCATGCCTCACTTTGTTCCCTTCTGCTGGTCTCCCGGTCTTTCAATGCAGCCGGCATTGGCGCCCAGTTGCTGGCTGCTGGCTGGCTGGCGCGCACGGCGCCCACTGGCCCGCCTCCTCTCATCCTGTTAGGTTTCCCTCGCCAGAAGGCAAGCGGTGCCTTCCACCCCAGCGGTCAGGCAAGCAGCTGGCGGGGATGCTGCTTTTGATGCCACCCGCCACCTAGCCGGGGAAAGACCGCGTTGTAGGCGCTTGGCGTGACTTGGCAGCTTGCTTTCAGCTGCCTGCCATGGGACAGCGAGGCAGCGGGGGGGCACTGGAACCGAGAGGAAGAGTGGGCTTTGCAAAGAGGGCCAGACGCTAGCCGAGGGCTGTCCCAGAGGAAGACGGGCGCAACAGGCAGCGCGGGCTTTCTCCAAGTTCTCCTCCCCTGGAGCTGGCACTGAGGGCACAGACATCCTTTGGGCGTCGCTTCTCAAAACAAAACGGGTGCTCACCACCATCCAGAAAGGGCCAGGAGGGAGGCTGAGGTGCTTCCTTCCCCTCCCCTCCCTCTTACCTGGGAGGTCCGGAAGGGTTTTTTTCTCTGGAGGAAGGAACTATGGGGAAAGTTGCATCTTGCCTCCTGACTTTGGCTGGCCTGTTCCTGGCGACCAGAGCAGAGCCCTTCACAGGTAAGGAGCCACCCCACCACTGTACATTTTGGCCCTTTCGTTTATGTCTTTGTTTATGCCATGTGGCGGCGGTCCCTGGGAGGCCTCCCACGGCGGCTGTCACAGTGGCAGGGAAGCCTGGGCTTCCCCAGCGGCACCGGTCAGCGTGGCTTCCCCGGTGGCAGCAGTCACAGCGGCAGGGAAGTCCGGGCTTCTCCGGTGGCGGCGGTCAAAGTGGCTTCCCCAGCAGCGGCTGTCATGGCAGCGGGGAAGCCTGGGCTTCCCCAGCAGCGGCGCCGGGAACGCCACGGTGGCTGTCATGGCGGTGGGGAAGCCCAGGGTTTTCCTGCCTTTTTCCTTTCGTAAGTGGAAGCTCCAGCCACAAGTCTAACCAACATTTTGCAGCTGGAGCTTTCCGTAACTCGAAATTTTCATAACTAGGGATGTCTGTAAGTCAAGGCACCACTGTATAGTCATGTGAAAAACAAAGGTCTATGCTTTACACATCAGGACACAATAAAAATCATCTGGTCCTTAGCAGGTCCTAAAATTAGGTAAATAACCTCAGAGGAACAACACATGACATTTTACACCATGTCATAACCTCAGAGGAACAACACATGGCATTTTACACCATGTCATTATTTATTTTACAAAAATAAAGTCAAAATGGAGAAATCATGTGTGACCTTATGATTCAATAGCTTATAGAACAACCTTTAGCAGCAATAACTTGAATTAATACTTTTCTGTATGACTTTATCAGTCTCTCACATCATTGTGGAGTAATTCTGGCGTACTCTTCTTTACAACGTTGCTTCAGTTCATTGAAGTTTGTGGGCACAGCTCCCTTAAAGTCCTGCCACAGCATTTCAATTGGGCCGTTTAACACTTTGAGTCTTTTCTTTTTCAGCCATTTTGTTATAGATTTGCTTGTGTGCTTTGGATCACCGTCCCGCTGCATGACCCAATTTCGGCCAAACTTTAGTTCTTGGACAGATGGCATCACATTTTACTTTATAATCCTTCTGTACACAGAAGAGTTCATAGTCAACTCAATGACTGCAAGATGCCCAGATCCTGTGACAGCAAAACCAGCCCAAATCATCATCCCTCCACCACCATGCTTGATAGCTGGTATGAGGCATTTATGCTGATATGCTGTGTCTGGTTTTCATACCACCATGCTTGATAGCTGGTATGAGGCGTTTATGCTGATATGCTGTGTCTGGTTTTCACTAAACGTGCCACTGTGCATTATAGCCAAACATCTACACTTTGGTCTAATCTGTCCAAAGGACATTATTCCAGAAATCTTGTGGTTTGTCCAGACACAACTTTGCAAACCTAACCAGTGCTGTCATTTTTTTTAGAGAGAAGAGCTTTTTCCTGGCAATCCTTCCAAACCATACTTATTCAGTATTTTTCTAATTGTACTGTCATGAATTTTAATATTTAATATACTAACTGAGGCATGTGGAGCCTCAGATGTAACTCTTGGGGTTTTTGCAATTTATCTGAGCATTGCATTGTCTGACCTTGGGGTGAATTTGCTTGGATGTCTGCTCCTGGGATGACTGGCAACTATTTTTAATGTTTTCCACTTGTAAATAATCTTTCTCACTGGGTTTTAAATTGTTTGGAAATAGCTTTATAATCCTTCCCAGATTGATGGGCATCAACAATGGCTTCTCTGCAATCATTGCTGATGTGCTTCCTTTTTCACGTTGAATCAACACACACCTGAATGTTCCTGACCAGCAAATTGCTAAAACTTTGGCTTTTATAGAGATGGTCACAGTTGCTGATGATCAGTTACTCAAGGGCATTTGGTTAGCAGCACTTGACTGCTACTTAGTCTTTTAATTCCTATGGAAGGAGAAATAGTGTGCTTCGTTTTTCACACACGGCTTCTCCATTTTAGCTTTATTTAAAAAGTAAATAATATGTCATGTGTTGTTGTTCCTGTGAGGTTGTACTTAACTAATTTTCAGACCTGCTAAGGACCAAATAATTTTTATTATGTCCTGATACATAAAACTATAGAATTCAAAGAGGGTGTACTTTCTTTTTCACATGACTGTATCTGACAGATAAAACAAAGCCTGCAATGCTAACTAAAATGATGGCACCAACTAAAATGCTTACCTTTCTCCTTAGCATGAATATCATCACATATATGCAGATCCAAGTGGGAAACTGCTAGATGATAAGAAGTTTCCTTAACATCAAATTCATTGAATAGTTTCACAATTGCATCATTTTGATCAGCAGCTGCTGATGATTGCTGTGTTTTTACTTGCTGTGTACTGGGCGCAGGAGTAGAACTCTGGAATTCAAACATATAATTTTACAGAAATGTCTTAAGACTTTCACATTAAGGACACTTTCAAATATTGCATTTAGAATATGCCCTTAATGGGCTGCAAGACACATTAGTTGTCACCAACAAGTCACAATACATTGAAACTTTTGAAAACAGTACAGGACACTGGCAATGGTGCGGCTAAAAAATATTGTAAATAAATAAATAAATAAAATTACTGCTGCCAAGGCACCATGATGAATATGGGACTTCAAATGCAAAATATTATTAGAGGGATTTAAAGTTCAATTTTCTAAAAGAGAAGTATTTAAAATGCTTCTTAAATCCCAGAATTTCAAGAAGTCTTATTCCTGAATAAATAGATATAGAGTGACAGCCTGAATGTCTTATGCTAATATACATTGCAGGTCTGGGACCTGTACAGTCTTAATTTTTTTTTCTTTAATAAACACTAATAAACACTATTGAAAGAACAGAACTTACATAGGTTTTATAGGTGTATGTTAAAGTTTTAAAATAAATAAATAAAATAATAACTCCTGAGATGCTGACTGATTCAATGGACCTATGACTATTGCAACTTACAATGGGATTTCAGCCATTACATCTGTAGTAACAATTCCACATTAGCCTCACATGACATACTGACGGCCCAATTCTTCTGAATTATAACAGGGAAGCTGTACAATGCTCTAAATAACAAAGCATGTAAGATCTGAAATTGTATTTAGTCTTTACAGATGTACCTTCTACAGCAAGCAAAGGGTTGCGACATATAAAGCTCACACCACTGGAAGCTTCATGCAAGTCCAATTTTATCAAATGTTTAAGTATCTCTCATAATCTTCTTGGCTGAATTTGTAGTCTCATAAGACAAACTTACTTGAGTGGGTTCAGAAGCTAGACTTTTTCTCTGTTCAGCTGACTTTTCTATTGCTTCGCTAAGAGATTTGGCATACTGCACCATAGCTTTCAATTGGGAATCAGTCAAAACCCACAGCAAATCATCTAATATTAGAATCAGCTTGGATGCCACCACATTACAATCCTTTAGCTGTTTGTGGGAAGAAAAGTGACAAAAATATTAGGATACATATGGAGGATACATAGTTTGTATAAAGTTATGGAATAAGGGGAAAGGGAAAACACAAAGTATAAAAATCCTACTAGCAAAACAGAACCTTTGTTCAATCATTTCTGCATCATTATAACCCTTGCTGACAGACATTTCATTCACACAGGCAAGCATGAGCTTGCATCATTAAACTTCAGAGCAGTCCTTCTTTGGACACTCATCTTAACAACCATGTAAGCATTTTATGTGTGCAAAAAAAAAATCAGATGAATACTATTTGATTTAGAAGTAGATAAGCTTCTGTGCATTGAATATATGTTGTGCCATTCCATTTGCAATCTCAAGGCAACTAGCAAATGAACCATGCATAAAGTATTTATACTGAATCAGTAAGAACTGGTAAGAATGAAAATAAACCTTAGGGCATGTTGTAATACAATTTTAAAAATGGAAAGCTAGCCATCACATTCTATAGATATAGAATTTAGAGCAATTAATTTCCTCAAGCACTAATGTCTCATACTTGTAGAACATGATCAACAAACTTTGGCAAGCCTCAGCGGTGACCAGGCTTTGATTTCCAATGGTGTGCTTGTCAAGAGGACAGGCAAGTTCTTCACTGTGACGTTATGATCAACATTAGAGACCAATCAGAATCAGGATCCCTAGCATTTCTGCAGACTCAGGAGAAGGACAGATATCTTCATTAGTAAGTTCTGATTAACAGTTCTGTCAATTTAAACCTGACGGCAACAAAATTAAACAACTATCTGTAAGAAACTATGGCCAAAATCCTGCTTCTTAGCATAGTAAGTCACAACTAGAGTAGGCCCACTGAATCAGTGGGATGATATGGCGAATCAATTTTACCACAAGTTCCACTGGTTCAAAGGGCCTGTTGCTAGTTGCAGCTTGCTATGCTAAGCAATAAAATGCATATACTTTTTCTGTGGAACTTTTCCCACTTATTATCATTCAGGAATACATGAATTCATCACATATCTATATTCAACATTACCCTTCTTTTTAGTGTGACCCTAATTTTGGACTGGTTAGTAATCAGGCGAACTGGAGCACTCATTATTTCATGCTGAGAGCTTTGAATTGCATCCGCTTCTATTCTGATCATCTGCCAGTTTATTTCTTTAAATGTCAATACCTGAAATAAAACAAACACACACAGATTTAAACATCTGTTGGAGAAATGTATGAAGTTTTAAAGAGCATTGATTCCTAGATCCCAGATGGACTTGGCAACAGTTGGAAAAAAATACTGTATTTACATTTTTTCGTAAACAGAAATAATTATCTGATAAATTTAAGCAAAAGGAATAGGCTTCAAGTAGCCAGTACTTCAGCTTTTTTTATTTTATGCTGTGTGACTGATTTAAAGTTAGAACAAATATTCTTTATACTCAAGCCATGAAGCACATTAAACATGCAAGTAGCTTGTTGAAATCAATGGAACTTAGACGGAATGAATCTTCTCTGAACAAAACCTGAGGAGTTTGGTTCCTTCCTAATACAGTAGCAATGGCAGAGAAACCTATTGTTAGATTTCTGAATATGATGCAACGCAAAATATACACTTTGAGGGAGAAAGATACCTATAAAAGAGTCCCAAGTGATTATTTTAATGTATAATCAAGTCACATTTGTTTAACATACCAGCTACCTTCACATCTACTATTTTTATTCAGAGATCAAATTATGCATGTGTGGCTCTATGATCTCCTACAGCTGGTGTATAACATATGATATGAACACAATGAAGCATACAAGCAGATTCTATATTCTTGACTCTTATGGTATTCATCCCCCTTTTACAAGTGGTGTTGTTCTCAGTACAGTCAAGGTCCATAAAAAGCTTCCATCCATACAGTTCCATTAGCAACACGTTTTGCATATTATAAAATAGATTTAACTCCCACAAACCAGAATAAATGATTTGGCTTGTTAATTATCGGCTTACTAAATAAGCATAAACCTTCATGAAATCCAAATAGCACTGAAGAAATCTCTAAGTTAACAGTGCCACTTGAGACTGTTTCAGATGTGCAAAACAGTCTTAATATCATAAGCTTCCATTAGGATTAATTTAAGATTGAGATTTAAATAAAATTAATAGCCAGATGATTGGTTAGCCAAGACTGCTAAACAGGAAGATTCTACAAAAGGATATAATACATGAAAATAAACAACAGTTAAGGAAAAAAATTAAAAAGAATTAAAAAGCTTATCATAAAATTAAAATGAGACTTACTTCACCACGCTGAGAATCTTGTAACCGAGTAAATCTTAGATCACCATGTTCCCAATTTGCATTTACACTATATATTCTCAACTGGGAAAGTTCAAATGAAGCATTGAAGGCTTTTGCTCCAATTCGGATTACAATGGAGTTCACAGAAACAGATATTCCTTCTACAACTTTTTCTGCAAAACCATACCCGCTGAAGAAATAAAATGCAGACATTTGAATCAAAACTTTAGTATATATATATGGAAATTTTAACAGGTATTTCAAAGACAGCACAAGCAGTTAAAAGAAAAATAGTATTGGACTTGATAAAAGACCAGTAAAAGAATACAGGTCCTCACAGAATTAACATACTGTAAACTGGTTCTTCTGAAATGCAGACATATAGAAGAGTCCTACACATCCCATGGACTAATTATTTTATAAAAGGATACGTCATCAGATAGGAAAACAGAATGAAATAGTTGATTATTTAAAAATACACACTCTTGTATCTTGAACACATAATTCATCATGACAAATACAATATACTACAATGTTTCATTGAAGGGAAGATTGAGGATGAAGTGGAAGAGGTAGAAGGCATATTTCTTGGTTGAGCAATGTGATGCACTGGACCCCCCTAAAGGGCAGGCTGGGCATTCAGCCAGAGAGTTCGACAGGCACTTATCTACCACCTTTGCGCTGGGGCAAGTCCCAAGACCTCAGCAGTGAGTAGCCTAAGCCCTTTGAACAAGTCTGACCTGAAAAAAACACTTTACATTTACTCAGTACTTTGCAAGTACAGGCACATGGGCTTTGTGATTCCTTAGAATTCACAAGAGCTCAGTTAGGTAGGACTCTTAAATGATAGCTAGTTTGTGGCCCTCTCCCTTCCTGGATTTAGCCAGGTCCTGTTGTTCAAGAGATTTTTATAATTTATTTTTATTAGAAACATAAGTGTTTCATCAGAAATCAGTTTATATTGCATAAGCATTAGATCAAGAAACATATTCAAAGATCATTGCAATTAAATAAGATAGCTATTACCCATTTAAAATAATACACACTAAAAAGCTGAAACTATGGAGGGCTATAGTGGGCTAGCCCCACCTCCTTCTTTTTCCTTTACTTATATCCTCTCTCCTTCAAGCTACATGCTCATAGCATCATCATGGAACAAGAGCCAGAAGAGAACCCAATGAACCACATTCGGTTACATTCACATAATCTATTGTCCATTTTCTACCCTCCTAACTCCTCCCTTCTTCATGGCCTTTCTGGCTGTTAACCAATTAACTTTTAGAGGTTGTACCACTTCTCTCCTCCTCTTATTCCCATGAGAGTCCAGGTGTTGTTTATCTCTTCTCTAAGAAGCTTGGAATGTTGAGTCTTCCATGGGCCTCTCCATTTGGCCTTCAAGATATCTGGAACCTGGCTTTAACAGTCTTCAGGAAAACACTCTCATGGTGCTTAGAAAAACACATTCCCAAGTCTCTCAAATCATCTACACACAGAACCTGTCTGACTCCATCATACATTTCTCTGACTACATATCCCATCAACATGACAAGTAACATACTGACTGGACCCTAATAAAGAACAACTAATCCACACAATGAGAGATAGGTAGAGATGGTAGCTACCCAGAGAGAAAGAAGCTGAGTCTTGTTAAGGTAAGAGCCAGCCACCCCCATCTCAGCTTCAATAATTCAACTTTAATGATAAGCACAGGGAGAATCCACTGAATTATTAAATAGTAACTGACCTTTGCCCTGATGCAGTTGCTATTGGAGATGGTCCATTAGGGGCACGAGGTTCTTCACATGTACTCATTTCCATTATTACTTTGTCCAGTGACTTGAACATGCAAGAGAATTTTGGAACAAATGAAATGTGCTGAACTACATGCTAAATAAAAGCCATCTCACAGAATTAAAACTTTAGTAAGATCTCAAGAATAAATGCTAAAAAGTTTCAGAAATAATTTGGTTTACATGTTCTACTTCAAACTCTCAGAATCAAATCACATGTATTATTTCAGTTTTATGTTAAATAATAATATGCACCAGCCTTTTCAATGAAAAGGTAAGAGTATAAATAACAATATTAAATTTTATTACCTGATTTTATCCAACTGTAAAATCCTACTGAGGTTTCAGGATCATAGGATTGACATTACTTGACAACATATAACAAGAACTTTACAAATATCGACATCTAGAAATCAGTCTAGATGTCACATGAATTTCTCCAGCACTCAGAATCTATTTAGTGATTAGCTTGTTCCCTCACAAATTTTAAAAAAAGGGAATTAAAAATTCTTTTTCTTAAAAATGAGTAGAATATTATATTCATTTTACTCAGCTGTATTAATATTAGGTCAAGACATTTTCACCATCTATCATTTATTTATAGATGACATGGCTAGCTAAGTTTCACATCATAGTTTTTTTTAGATTAGGCATCCTTCAGTCTCAAGAGACTATGGTAATAAGCTCTGAATAGAGGATTTGGAACAGCATCTAGTGTGGCTGAGAAGGCCAATTCGAGAGTGACAATCTTTTCCACATTGAACACAAATACAATCTGTCCCCTGTCCAGCTCCCTGATTTTGCTGGTTTCAGGACTGCCTCTTTGCTCTTTGCCTAGGGCTGCTAGACAAGTGTCTCTTCAAAATGGGAGAGGCCATGATGCACCCCCTGCCTCCAGGCTGAACGCTCAGATGTCAAGGTTTCCCATCTGTTGAGGTCCATTCCTAAGGCCTTCAGATCCCACTTGCAGATATCCTTGTATCGCAGCGATGGTCTTCCTCTAGGGCTCTTCCCCTGTACTAATTCACCATGCAGGAGATATTTCACATCATAAAGTTCTCTTCTAAACAGTACTTAGCAAATATCATGATTGGCTTGCCAAGGAAAGTATAAAAGCTAGTAAAACTGTGAACAGAGATATTTATACTAGAAAGTAACAACAAACATCAGTTTCGGTAACCCTCATCCTGGCATTTTCCAAACACAATTGTAAAAAAAAATAAAAAATGACACTACGAGATTTATTTTCTACACTTTCAGTACTATATACAATGTAACCTTAGCTGTTATAAATAAATGCAAGCTCCCATCCACTCCTCAATAAAAAGCTATCAAACTGCATTCCATGAATGCCAGTAATGCGTCGTCGTCATTTAGTCGTGTCCGACTTCGTGACCCCATGGACCAGAGCATGCCAGGCCCTCCCATCTTCCACTGCCTCCCAGAGTTGTGTCAAATTCAGTAATGCAGTCAAGGTCAAAAAAGAAAGCCAGCAGTAGTATGCAAACAAAAATGGATGAATTGCCTTGTAATAATTATTAGAAGTCCTGATACAATTTCATCACTTGGGACAATCTATTTTTCACAGTAATACTTGATATGTAAATTTAGCTTTTGAAAACTCATACACAAAAAAGGTCTCTTTTAGGGTCTCAAGCACCCCCTCTGCCGTTACTTGTGTGGAGTTTATGTCAAATGACAATCATTCTTATCTGCCATTACATAATAGCTTTGAGGCCATCATGTCAAACTCTTCTTTAATTTGGAAGACATAGTACTAGAAGCCTGCAAGAGATTATAGGTTAGATATTTTAAATTCTAATGCTTGAAAAGAATTAGCACAGGAACAAGTGCATTTCAAAAGGTCAGACTAGCATTTAATAAGACAGTCTCATTAAAGGTCGGTGACTCACAGGATAACTGATGTGTGACTACCCAAGGATCTGAAACATAAATATCATCTTAGGAGTATCCGAAGGGGAGAGAATGGGGAGAAGAATGAGAATCAAAAAAAAAGAGATGGTAACCATTTATAAATTCCTCAGTGCTTCCCAATATACCAATATGTATAAGGAAAAGTACTGTCTAACCAACTCGATATCTGTTACCCAGATGAAGTTTGATCTCCTCACACTAAAGTCTTATTGTTTTCATTTAGTTTTGTTAGTTTTTATCTGTTCACTTCCTACAAGCATAAATAGTGTTCCCTATCTCTTAGGAAAAAAATCAACTACATTTTTTTCTACTTTGTTACCAACTTAATCCTACCAATGCCTGTGAAGGTTCAGTAAACGGGTCCTCCCTCTCCCCTAATAAACCAGGAGACATCTTTAAATCAAAACAAGTTTCTGTATTTATTAACTTTGGTAACGGTAATGGAACATCATGAAAACTTGTGGTGAACTTTTGTGGGAGCAACGACTCAGACAGGGGTAACAACACGTCAGTTTCAAACGGGTTAGTAGACTTGTGCTCCCGTGGACCTGCCAAAATCCTTTCAGATTCTTGGAGTTCATCTTCATCCATCTCAGGTATCAGAAGGGGGAGGGTTTCCTCATCTCCGGACCACCCCCATATCAGCGATCCCTCCCCTGGGTTGGAATCCCAAGATCTGGGAATCAGCCCAGTCTCTTCAGTTCCTCCAAATGCCATGCTCTTTTGGCTTCTTTTTCTTTCTCTGTCGCCTCCTTTTCCTCTCTCAGCCTCAGTCTCCACTCTCGGGTTTCGGATTCACCCCACTATGAAGGCTGCTGAGGGAGTCCCTTCCTTCTCCGGTTCTCAGCCTCATGCTTAGGAACCTGGACTAGCTCCCAATGTCTGGTCCATGGATCTTGCATCCATATCATCTCCCAGCCACCCGGGATGTCGTCATGGTTCACTCTTATATCCCCCGCTCCCGCTCCCGCCTCCACTACAGCCCGACTCCAATCCTCCTTTCCCGTCATTTCAGGATCGGTCTGTGTGGCTACGGTTAACCTCCTCATTCCCCTCACTAAGTCCTGGGTGTCGACTCCTCAATGTGTCAGTCTAGGAGGAGTGGGTGGTGGAGTTGCCTTTGTCCCTTTTGATGCCTTGGGGAGAGATGGCACTCCTACTAGAGCTTCCTGACCCAGACTTCGGGCTCCACAATGCCAAGCAAAATATTTTTGAGCTTCCATGAAATATTTTTTTAAAAAAATGCTTCAAATATTTAAGAAGCCAAGGAAGAGGAGAGGGAGTGTTGAATATTTTGTTATTATATATGAAGCAATAAAACCATGTATACAAGTGGTATGGAAGGATGTGCCTCACACAGGTAGTATCGCTACTCTTTGAATCCCTAGTGATGGTTTTGTCCCCAATCCACTTTATAATATAACTACTACAACAAAATGCCCTTCTCTCATATATATCAACTTCAATTAATTCTGTTTGAACTGCAAGAAGAATTACAAGCTGCATGCTTTCACAGCCAAATTCCAAACTTACCAAACAGATTGGATGTGTTTTCAGTTTTGTCCATGGTATCTGCAAAATAAAGCAGATGTCAAATCCTTGAAGACAACATGCCTGGAAAGTATCCGAGACATACAAGGCATCATATTTTTTATCTATCAGTAAACAGTAAGATGAAGCCTACTTTTCTGCTATTATAATGGCCTAAAGTCATTTTACCATATTTTGTTAGGTACTACAGTGGTGCCTCGACTTACGACCGTCCTGACTTGCAACCAATTTGAGTTAACAACCAGCTCTGGTCGCAAAATTTTGCTTTGACTTGTGACCGGAGCTTTGAGATAAAACCAGAAAAAAGGCAGGAAAATTTAAAATGCTAACCATTGGTCAGTGAAGAGACTGCTTCTCTGTAGCTCCTTCGCCCCAGCGGTTAGAGAGTGTGCGTTTAGAGAGAGGCTTCAGACTGCCTGGTACTGCTTTTTGCTTTTTAAATTTTTTTTAAACTGCCTGTTCTGGATGAGTACTGTACAGGGTTTTGAAGTGTGGGTTTGGGCTGGGAGGGTTATGTTTCTGTGCTTTGATGGGTCCTGCAGTGTGTTTTTTAGTCTGTGCTGGATTGAGTTTGTTTGATTCGAGGGTTATGTTTCTGTGCTTTGATGGGTCTTGCAGTGTATTTTTTAGTCCCTGCTGGAATGGGTTTGTTTGAGTCGGGGGTTATGTTTCTGTGCTTTGATGGGTCTTGCAGTGTATTTTTTAGTCCCTGCTGGAATGGGTTTGTTTGANNNNTCCACAAGATGGTTGTGACTCAAACTGGTTGTAAGTCAAAGCACCATTTCCCACAGGAATGCATTGAAACCCCATTAATCTGTTCCAGCCACACAAAAATCACCAAATATTTTTAGAAAACACACACACTGCAAGCCCCATCAGAATGCGCTGGGGCCAGGAAAAAACCACACCAAAAAACAAAACAACACTGCAAGCCCCACTGGAACACACTGGGGCCAAGAAAAAAAAACCACCAAAAAACAAAACAACACTGCAAGCCCCATTGGAACTGGGATTTTTTTTGGGGGGGGGGGGGGGGGGAACCCACAAAA